TGACCTGCTCCAGGGTCCGATTTTCGCATTTTTTGAGTCTAAATAAGTTTAAAATAAACCACGATATTTAAAAAAAAAATAATACACATCATTTGAATTTACTGTAGAAATATATCTTCCAAATTTGGATATAATATGACGTTAAGCAAAAACGTTGTGACGGTAGTCCACGAACTTTCCGAACAACGAACTAATTTGTAAGTAAATGCTTTAATTATTGTCATGATTTTTTTCTCTATAACGGGTGTTTCGATTATAAATATACGAGGGTTGTTTGAAACTTCGCGGACACATTGATTTACGGACACTTTATTGTGTACTTTTGAAAAATGAAGTATGTCTGATTAAAATCTTATATTTTGTTTATTAGTACATGTATGTAAAAAAAAATCAGGCCCGTATACTATAATTTGGAATATATACAATAAATTTTTAAATGCAGTCAAAGGATTCACATACCAAAACCTTGGGGTAACGTGACAACTGTTAAGCTTTTACACAGTTCTAAATATCTTTCTTTTTTTTTTCTTTTTTTTTTTTTACTTTTCATGTTTTTTCCTACTTAAAAATTGAATAACTATAACAGGCCATTTTACTTTTTTTCGCGAAAATCTTCTTCTTTTTTTTTTGGCCTATCGGATGATAGTGATATCTTTAAATCAATATCAAAAACTATATAGGTATGAAAAAATGCAAACCCATATGTGCAAGTCTGTGCGATATGCGAGGCATTGGTTATCGCAGGAGTTAATCATCAAAAGTATCAATCCTTCCATTCTTACAAAGCTACTACTATTTGAATACTTTGGTCCAAGGTACGTGAAGGCAATTCCTTGCAGCATCGAAAACAGTAATGTTTCTTTCGGGTATTTTCCTGTCTGCACAGACAATTTTTGAATAGCTCGATGCTCCAAGACGTTCAATGACGTTGCCTTTCTTGAATTTGTTTTTAAGCATTTATCAATTTTAATTAGCAATAAAACTGTTATAACCCCTTCAGTTTAATTCAAATTTACGCCAAATGACTTTTCATGAATATTGTAGAGACAGGTGAATTATCAGAAATATATATTTATGCGCTACAACAGTGCGAGGTTTTATTTTTAAAATGTGTATGCATTGTAAAAGTGCGAAAAAGGGATATGCTCCGTGAAACAAATTTTAATCTAAATGATAAAGTTTTATATTTTTCAAGGATCATCTGCAAACACCAAATATTTCCATATTAATTGGAAAATACGTATAACTTTGATCTGCATATTATAACTTGTTTCATGCAAATAGAGCGCTCACAATAGAACTTGTCTTCGAACTTTTCTAACAGCCCTCGTATATGCTTTTTTAGTTTGATTGACAATTATGTAATTGGTAATTTAAGTGACCCTCACACTCAATGTTTTATAACTTTACTTAACAAAACCTTTTTATAACCCTTTCATATAAAAGGCTAAAATCTGATTGGTTTACATACACTGAACAATTTGAAATATCATTTAAATATTATAAAATGACATAATTGACGAAAATTAAATTACTTTGTTTGGTTGTTCCTTACTCCTGTATCAGGCTTAATTTTTTATAGGAGGCATAGATCGAAATATGTTGAATGTATGATTTGATTATTAAATCATATGTTTTGTCAGTTATGCTGACTCTTATTAGATTGCTTTCGGTTATGCGCAGTTACAATTTTAAAATAGAAAAGCAAACCATTATTTTATAAATCGTAATTAAACTAATTTTTTAAAACAGATTTTTTTCTGGTTGTTTTAATCACGCCACTGCAACGGCCTCTTACACTTATACCGATGCGTATCTATTTATAACTTAGTGTGGCCTAGATTCATTGACATTTCTGTTTTATATCTCAGATTCTCAGGAACACATGGAAAACCCTCTTCAGTATGTTAAGTGTTGTCTACGCTTATGTGATTGTTTTCGGCATTTTAAGGGATTCCGATGGATTGGGTAAGTTTTGGATGTGGTAAGGAGTATCTTTCTTTCTTAAATTAAAGAAATAATTCTTCAGAAGAATTCTTTCGATTGACTCATACTGGAAGTTTTTTTTTTACCGTTTCTGGTTTAAGGATAAGTAGATTAAACATCAAAAAAAATAAAAAAAAAAAAAAAACTTACCTGCCTCATTTAAGAACCATGGCTGTTTTTATATGCCCGTAATCGAAGGTTCGGGGGCATAAAGTTTTTGTCCTGTCCGTTCGTCTAGCTGTTTGTCTGTTATTCTGTCTGTCCACAAAAACTTTAACCTTGTCCATTTTGATTTGTTGGCACTATGGCTTTTATATTTTACATGATATATCTTGTGACAAGATCTTTCTTGCGGTACCATCACATTTGACCTCTTGACCTGGACCTTGGAATTTGACCAACTTTTGCAAAGTTTTATTAAACTTAACTATGACTATAACTGTTGAACAATTAGTACTAGCGCTTTCGTTCTTCAAATCTGTATTCCGTGTGGTAAGACCTCATGGGGTATAATATGTTTGACCTTGACCTTGGAGTGTGACCCACATTTTCAAAACTTTAACCTTGGCAATAACTTTGAAACGGTAAGTAATAGGGCTTTCATATTTCACGGGTGTATTTCTTGTGACAAGACCTTCCATTGTATATCAACAACTTTGACCTTGAAGTTTGACCTAATTTCGAAAAACTTACACCTTGGTCATAATTTTTGAACAGACGGTGCTAGGGTTTTCATCTATCACAGGTGTTTTCCTTATTACATGATATTCCCCTGGGCACCAGTAATCTTGACCTTGATGTTTGATTTTTTCTTTAAAAAAAACTCTAACCTTTGCCATTATATTTCAACGGTTGGTGCTGAGGCTTTTATATTTCACAGTTATTAGTCCCCTACCGGTGAAACCGGAGGGGACTATAGGTTTTCTCTAAGACTGTCCGTCCGTCTGTCTGTCTAGCTGTCTGTCTTTCTGTCCGTCTGCCTGTCCCTTTGTCAGTCTGTCCCACTTGGTTTTCAGCATTTTTTTTCTAAACGCTTGCATATATTGAGCTGATATTTGGTATGTGAGTTTATCTTGATAAGTTACAGACCAAGTCTGCATTTCCTTCCGCTTCAATGATTTTTGACGGAATAACGACCTTTTCAAATTGTCAGGGTTTTCCGCAATTTTTTTCTACACGCTTGCATATATTGAGCTGAGTATGGTATGTGACTTTACCTTTATGAGTTATAGATCAAGCTTGCATTTCGTTCTGCTTCATTGATTTTTTATGGAATTATGGCATTTTCTATTTTTAAAGGGAACCAGACTAAACTTGCCGGTAGGGGACTAGTATTGCTAATGCAATACTATCAGAATGCTTGTTTACCTTGTGACAAGACCTGTCTTCGAGTAACATTTTCTGTCTCTTGAACCTGACCTTTGAGTTTGACTTGCATTTGAGAAACTTTAACCTTCGCCATAAAATGCCATACGCGTGCAACATTAATTCACAAACACATCTTTTTTTAACAAATGTTGTATATATTGAATTTCAAATAAGATTTTAAAGAAAATATTACAAGTTTACAAATAACTGTAAGCCAATAGCGTAGGACAGTAAAAATTTTATACTGGAAAAATAAATCTGCCCCATTGGTAAAAGTGTTATTCAGTATTTAAGAGTTAGTTGTATCTGTTATAAATGATTTCTCACGTGGCTAAATGCTTTGAAGTAGTTGCTTTAAAAGAACACTTATAGTCATTTATTTGGTGAAAAATATCTGACACAGTTCATAAAGTAGGATACACCAATCAACACACACACAATGAATTCAAAACAACATTAGGTTTCCAGTACAAATTTGAATCTTTTCAGAAGTAAATGATAAATACAAAAGAAATCAATGTATAACTTTGATTTCAAAATAATAAACTTTTTTTTTATTTTAAAACTGATAACACTTAACAGTTGGTATATTTATTTTTACTCTTCCAACAAAAAAATAACCCTTTTAAACGCAGTTACTGATCCTATGAAGTAAAATGCAATAATTGTTTTCCAGAAAATCTAGCTCTGCGGAAACATGCCGTCCAGTCCTCAACTCATCGAATAGCATGGGGAGCCAGTAAAGCCGTGGACGGGGATAAGAGGTCCATATTATAATTCATGTGGTGTGACTCAGACCGGTCAGTCTAATGCTTCCTGGTATGTAGACAGGGATTTATCAGGACCTTCTCAGGGGCCGAAATTCGGCCCCATTCCCCATTGAAAATGAGTTCAATTTTTCCCAATTGGGCAGTATTTTTTCCCAATTGGTGAACAATGTTTTTTTTATTTAATTATCTTGGAAAAAACTTAGTAAAATTGTCAGATTGTCTGTAATTTTCCTCTATTTATCTCATTTAGCAAAGTTACAGTCATAACAAGTTTAAAAACACTGTAAGTAAACATCGCCGACTTTTAATCCGAATTTCCTCCGTTTTTTTTTTTTTTTTTTTTTTGAAAATGATGATATTGTGCAATAATACATGTATAGATTTTTTAAGTTATCTCCACCTATTCAATTGATCTACGAGTGAATGGTAAGAACTGTAGGCATATATTTCAGAGAGAAACATATATTTTCAATGCATTTTTACAAATTAAAAGGGGACTTTGAGAAAATGTGTACTTAATATCATTTTTTGCAGGAGGTTTATAATCTCCAGAAACAGATTTTAATCACCTAAATTGGAGTCTGATACACAGATGTTCTACCCAAGTTGTATAAATACTCTATACTCACTGAAATCAAATTTAGTTTTATTAGTCTATTATTGATAATTGATCTTGTATATGATGAAGTTGGATAATATTTAATTGTCTGTTTGGTTGCCCAAAATTAGAGTTCATGCTGAAATGTTAAATGAATTACACCTGAATACATGACCTAAGCAAGATTCTTTAATTTTTCCCAATTTCAGCAAATACCCGATAATATTTTCCCAATTCCCTAAAAATGGCGTTTCCCAAAATAGGCTGATAAATCCCTGGTAGATCTGGAGAAGGTAGTGGGGACCCATCATGTCACGATTTACTACAGATTCGAGGAAAACTGGGGTAAGAGTTTAAGCTTTATCAATTTACAATTTACTATACTTCAGAGGAAAACTAGGGTAAGAGTTGAGTTTAAACATTACCACCATTTCAATATCCACCACAGAGTAAAGTAATACATAGGAATGACTTCATATATAGATCGTCGTTTTTTTTTTGTTTTGTTTTGTTTTTTGTTTTTTTTTTTTTTGATTTTTTGTTTTGTTTTTTGTGTGTGTGTGTTTTTTTTTTTTTGTTTGTTTTGTTTTGTTTTGTTTTTTTTTTGATATGGAACGTAAAAGTATGCATCAATTAGCGACGGAAATAAAATGTATTTAAAAGAATGTCATGTCTTCATGGAATAGGAAGGGAAAATATCATTGTGTTATATTTTTTTAGTGTTTTGAAATTTTGATTTGTGTAACAAATAGATAAAATACCCTTAGACTGATATTTGAGTGCACACTTACACAAGAAAACAAAATATTATGTACCTTACTGATGACATTTGCTATTCTAGTGTTTGTAATTTTTTTTAGACGTCATGTAGAAATAAAATGAAAGGGAAATTAGTTTTTCATGTTTAAGTGCACTGCACATTTTGATAATATCTGCCCTTTTTTCAGATATACACTATAGTGGAAGATTTGCAGGATTTTTCCTCTACATATCTGACGACACGGCATCACGGCAAGCTCTGTTATCACGAGATACAGAACAGACCAGGAACCCCCAGCCATATCATCATACTGGAATGTAGCATGTGGGGGAGATATGTTATCATTTACAATGAAAGAAATCCTGAACTCACGTATCCGCAATTTTATTCAAACATCGCCATCTTAGAACTCTGTGAGGTTGAAGTATACGGTATTTATTTATTTATTATAGAACATATATATATATATATATATATATATATATATATATATATATATATATATATATATATATATATATATATATATATATATATATATATATATATCAAGAGGCCCATGGGCCACATCGCTCACCTTAGCACTGTAGCTAGGAAAAAAGCAGAAATCAGTTAAAAAATGAAAAGTTTCATATATAGGTGGTCTCAAACTACACCTAAAAGGGGGGTCATGATTTGAAAACCTAGAATCTACACTACCTGAGGATGCTTCCATATCAATATGACCAATTATTGATTTGATATTTTTGAGAAGATTTTTGAAGATTTTTTCCTAAAATATATTCCCTTGTCAAACTTTGATTATCCATTGTTCCCCCCGCCCTACTCCCGGGGATCATGATTTGATAAACTTGAATCTAAACTACTTGAGGATGCTTCCATATACATATGACCAATCATGGCTTTGCTGTTCTTGAGAAGAAGATTTTTCAGGATTTTCCCTTGTGTTCCTGTGAAGAACTTTGATTGTTCATTTTGGTCCCATCCTACTCCCGAGGGTCATGATTTGAACAAATTTGAATCTACACTATGTAATAAAAATTTCAGTTTCAAATTTTCTGGCCCAGTGTTTTTTATTAGAAGAATACCAGGTATTCCTAAAGACTTTTTCCTATATATTCTTTTATAAAAACTTGATCCCCCATTGTGGCCCCACCCTACCCCAAAGGGTCATGACTTAAACAAACCTTAATCTACACTATCTGAGCATGTTTCCATATCAATTTGACTAATCATGGCTTTGCTGTTCTTGAGAATATTTTGACTTTTTTCCTATATATTCCTTTGTAAAACTTTGATCCCCATTGTGACCCTACCCTGCCTCAACGGATTATGATTTGAAAAAAAAATAATCTACACTATATTATAAAAGTTCCACATGAGTTTCTACTTTTCTGGCCCAGTGGTTCTTAAGATTTTTTAAATAATGCCACTAAATTTTCACTTATTCATAATTATCTCCCCTAGAAAGAGGGCGTGGCCCTTCATTTGAACAAAATTGAAATTCCTTTGCCCAAGGATGCTTTGTAGCAAGTTTGGTTGAAATTGACTCAGTGATTGTGGAAAAGGAGTCGAAAATATTAAACGTTTACAGACGGACGTCGGGCAAAATATGAACAGAAAAGCTCACTTGAGCTTTAGGCTCAGGTGAGCTAAACCTACAAACAAAACAAATCTGTTAACAGGCAATAAAACACGATCCACTGGAAATTCCAGAGGTTGAATCAGATTAAGCTAAATAGCTATAATACTCCAAAAGGATTAAATCCCAGTTCTTTTGATTAGTACATATAACACAGAGAATGGAAGTAAGATGATATTTATTGTCAATATGAATCTGGTTGAAAAGGGCAATTTTGTTTTCAGCTGTCCATTAAATAATGGTTTTAAAACTCATTAACCGTCCACCAAATAAAATTTATTTGATTTTCTTTAAAAAATGGAGTTAATATAATTTTTTAATACATGTAGTTGTTACACCTGACATTTAAAGAAAATATCCTTAACTTATTAATGTACTTGACAACTGTATCCAAAACACTATCTTTCCAAATATGTTTCGCAAAAATTACTGTAAAACTAATAGATTTGTAGAATTTTCTTTTTCTGCAAATGATGTTTCAGGAAAAGTATGATTTTAATTATCTTGCAAAATAAAACAAAATTGTCTTCTGTATGTGAGGTATTCGTAGCAATTATTTTTCTTTAGGCTGTCCGAACACTATGCAGAGTGAAGGAGAGTGTCTGAATTGTCCCTCCACTTGTGAGGACGGAGTCTGCAACGCAACGACGGGGATGTGTTTCACTTGTCCGTCTGGGTTCACTGGTGATTACTGCAACGAAAGTGAGATTTGTTAATTATACATCTCTTATGCATGGGCCTTTATCACGTTTTATTATCTCTGAGATGGAAACCATTTCAATTATATAATTTCAAACAGCTTGTGGACTTGGTACTCACGGACATCGATGTTCTGGTTTTGCAGAGACGGAGAACCATGTGATCATATGACAGGCTATTGTTTAAATGGATGCGCTTATGGAATGCGTGGAGATTAATGTACAGACGGTGAGTTCTAATCGTTCATAAGGGTAACAATATTCGATTTTTCTACATTGTAGCTATTCTAGATTAGTGAGATAGAAATACAGATATTTATGAATCCAGGAATATATATGCTTTGAAGAAATTCCTTTAGATGGCGAATCAAAGTTTTACATAGGAATATTTAGGAAAACATCTTCAAAAATCCTCTTTTCAAGAACAGAAAAGGCATTATGGTCATATTAATATGGAAGCATCCTCAGATAGTGTAGATTCCAGTTTGTTCATATCATGACCCCTGGTGATAGCGTTGGGCCACAATGGGGGTTCAAAGTTTTACATTGGAATATATAGGAAAAATAATCTTCCCAAGAACAACAAAGCCATGAGTAGTCTATTGATATGGACATATCCTCTGGCATCCAAATTTGTTCAAATCATGATCCCCGGGGTAGAGTGTGGCCACAATGGGGGCTCAAAGTTTTACATAGGAATATATAGAGAAAAAAAATTCAAAAATCTTTTTCTCAAGAACAACAGAGCATCTTCAGATAGTGTAGATTCAAGTTTCTTGAAATCTTGACCCAGGGGGTTGGGTGGGGCCACAATGTACTATCAAAGTTTAACATATGGATGTATAGAAAAAAATTCTCAATTTTTTTTTTCTCAAGAACATCATAGCTATGTTTAGTCACATTGATATGGAAGTACCTTGAGGTATTGTAGATTCAAGTTTGTTCTAATCATGACCCTGAGGGTAGGGTGAGGCTGAGGCTACGTCTATAAAAATCAGGACCCCGGTGGGGGGATGGGGTCTTAAAGGAAGAAAAGTTTTACATAATATTGTATAATAGAATAAATCTGTTGATGAAAAACAGCAATGCCCACGGGTCTCTTGTTTTAAATATTTTCTCAGATTTTGATTACTGCATGCAAAGTGAGCTTACAAAGTAAGTTCATATATTACTTATTTCAATTACTTCTTTTACTTCATATATAGTCTGTCAACCTGGAACGTACGGACAAAATTGTACACAGGAGTGAGGGATTTTCTGTAAAAGATCACGTGTTTGTCATCACGTGACAGGAAAATGTCAGAATGGACGTAAACAAGGCTTCAGTGGAGATACATACGAAGAGAGTAAGATATATTCATAGTATTCCTGAATTCACTTAGATAAAGGTCTTTCAGGTGCAGAAGATCCAAACCTATCAATTTAGGATATACGTATATCATATATTGATTTGAAAATCACATATTTTCCTTTCAATATTTAGGAAAAAGAGAGTTTTCAATTTTCATTGTTACGTATGAATGTCAGTTACTTCGTATATTACATTCCAAACGATTTCTTCACATCGCAACTTCATACTAAATAAAAAAAGATAAAGTTTAAATAAATACTTCTGCTACCAGCTAGACAAAGTTATAATCATTTCTTTATATTTGCAGTTGAAGGATTACCTTTTAGTGTTGATTTTATGCACGCTCTGTTTGGAATGTTCCTAGCTGTCATCTTTATAAATATTGTATACTTCACGATGTTCTTAGTTAAGAGGTGAGTCTCTTTAGTTCTTACATATTTAAGTACATACGCAAGCTAGTTTTGACCCTTATAGTCTCATTCATTGTATAATTTAAGAGTTCCAGTAATTGAAGGACCTTTGTGCAGCTTTTGTAATGATTTTTACCTTCTCCTAATAAGGTTTTAGGAAATACCATCTACTTGTATATGCTAAACTATACTTTTGCTTATTTTTCCTTGAATATCACAAGAATTTTCTATTAAAAAAATGCATGAAGGTTTATTTCTTTATTGATAAACTAAACCCTCTTATCCTTACGATTTAAAATCATTAAAGGACTTTATCTTTGCAGATTTAGAAAGAAAATTGACAACATCGTAACTATAAATTTCAAACATCCAATATATAGATTTGACAACAAGAGGTTCAAGGACAAAGATGAAGATCGCTACAATGAACGGCTGCAGGAGTTCAATGGTCTCGTTGAAAATATTTACGAAGGATATGAAAACACTTCATAAAGGCTTTATGTAATGGACATCCTGGAGCTTCTTACGAACAGTTTGTTTCAGTGTATTATAGACAGTGTGTCAATCCATGTTTATATCTCTGTAGAGACTGTTGATTTAAACGGCACAACAATATCATTGGTGATACGATACGATATCGGTGATGAAAAGCATTTAGGTATAAATGAATCCTCATAGCTTTAATATTTGAAATGCATATTAGCATTTTAAGTTGCTGAAATATTTTCGATGTACCTAAACTTGATGTGGTTTTTGTATGTCCAGAAATTATTGAACTGCGTAATGATATTTTTGTTTTACTGACCCTTTAAATACAGTTGTAATATCAAAACAATTGAATACTTTACTTACTTGGACATATTTTAACTTGCCAACGGAGCTTTTTTTTTAATGTCAAGGGTGAAATATACATTATGTAGCTTACTATCTTTGTTAAGCTATTGGTCAGGTACATGGCTTCAAATCATCTTTAAAAGGTGTTAATTCACTAAGGGATTGATTTCATGCCATTCTAATCAAATAAAGTAATAACATAAATACAAAACAATTGGAAAAAAAATTTCTCATTTTACACGGTACATAACATGCATAAATTATTTATATATTTTATTAAAAAAAAAAGACCTAGAAAGGGAGACAATTTTAATATTTTTTGTTGTTGATGTGGGGAGATGTAGATGTCGATTTCATGCGTAAAAATACTTGACTAATAAAGTTGCCTTAAAAAATAAAGATTATGTACCAGCGTCATCGGTTTAAGCACAGGTTGCATAGCCCTGTCCGACGTTGCACTTGATTTATAACAACATAGTAAAAAGAAATATATTTTAATCAAATTACATTATTTTTCTATTTCTTTTAGTGTTGTTGAAAAATCGTATATACTAATTTCAAATCAATGAACTAAATACACCAATAATTTCCAGTTTTTATTAATTATATTGTGTCTGACATTGTTTGAACAATAATTAACATAATTTTATGTTTAGACGCTGCTAACTCTGATGGCTGACGTCGCTTTGCCTAACATTTTTTTCATACACAATTTTTACGATTCTGACTATCTGTGGTACTAAATATTCAGAAAATGGCGAAAGTCGCTTTTTGCGACACATAAAACTTTTATTAAGCTTTGACTTGTTTTAAAATAAGAAAATAATCTTTATATAACGAAAACTTTCTTTGAAAAATTATTTTTTTACTGGTCAGTGCGCATTGTGATCTGAAAAGAATTAATCATAATACAAATATCAAGTTCAAACGATTTCAACCCAAATATAATGACTTAAGAGTTTCATAACAAATATTTCGGTATACAAAAAGAATAGCTGCAGAACTGTAGCGTTACGGTTTTATATTTTAGTCGTTGACCATAACACTACAGATCCCGTTATGCAAAAAAATGTGTAATTTACGGCGCAAGATTTTTTGCACACTTTGGGGATGTATTTCGCCATTTTCCAGCATTTGTCAATCAACTACTTTCACTTCCTAATTCTAGACATATTCTGTAACAAATTTGTATATTTTATCCATCTCTTTCCCCTTTCTATTCGTGTACAGACAAATAAACTCGCTTGTTGTGAATTTTATGCCATCCAACAACAAATTCACAACACATCATATATATTAAATTAAAACTCGTGGAAATCAAAAGTATTTACTTGCTAAGAGAATATTCAAAAATTTTAATGAAACACATAAACAAATTGATTGACCTGTTCACGTCCTTCAGAAAGAAATCACAAAATACACTAATTTTGAACATTTTCTTTCATCTAAAATATTTATGTGCCATGTTTTCTTCAAATTATTTAGAATTATATCTAAGGTTAACAAAAACATATTTAATCATGGTTGACCGCATAAAATTTTACAAAACAGTCTTTTGAACATGTAAACCCCAATTTTGGAGAGTTTAACAATCATTACAACGATTACACTCCAATAAAAATAATATAGTTATCTATAGTTAATCATAGTTTACCTTAGTTTAATATATTTAACTAAAGTAAATCAGTTTCAAAGGTATCACTATGTTAAATTAAAGTTTTCAAATTTATAACTATTGTGTCATAGTGATCATTAAAGTTAATCAAAGTTTTCAAGGTTATCACTATAGTAAATCAAGGTTTCCAAATTTATTACTATAGGAAATCAAAGTTTTCATAGTGACCACTATAGCATTTCAAAGTTTTTAAAGTTAACTTTATAGTGTCATGGTGGTAACTATAGTAAAACATTAGTAATGTAAGAGGTAAAAATAACGATCGATCTCAAAAGATCCACAAACAATACAAATATGTGAAGCGGGCATAAAACTCGGACCTCTGGAAATTCAACAGGTGGAACAGATGCTAGGGGTAAGAATTCCCTGTTGACCTGTCTCATCCGCCATGAGCTCTTTTTATAGATCAGGTATAGAAAAGGTAAACGGAACATTCCGGTGTCAAATTCTGTATAAAAACAAACATATAACAATTGGTATAAAACACTCAGCCAAATTACGACCCAATGATAGATTATAATTATGTTATATTTGCTAACAAGGTCATTAAAATGATATTTTACCTGTTCTCTGTATTACTAAATAAACAAGTTTTTTTTAATTAAATACACAGCAGTATCTTAATTGTTATACATCTTGTAATACATATGTACGTGTTAGACTACAGATATTTTAATCTTGCAGTGTGTCTATTCTGGAAAAGGCAGGATTGCTGGGTACAGTTGTGGAATGTGAAGAAGACGGATTACTTACGGTGCATCCCCTTTTCATAAAAACCTCAACAAGTCATTAAATAGAAAATATGCACACACTTAAAACTAATTTCACTTATCGACATGTGCGATGTGCCTGTGAAGTTTATGAAATCATGAATTTAAGTAACTTGACCGCGTCTTTCAGTACTGTATCCGTACTTTGATTATTAAAAGAATGATAATAATATATAAAGTATTCATTTATTGATTTTCTTCTCTCTTTGCTGTTCAAAATGATCATTCTTTAATTGAATTAAATTAGTTTTTGATGTTGTAGGATGTTCTACTTCACACACTTAATCAGATGCTTTAAAAAGATTCACGTTGTATTATTCCTTTATATTCAGATTTTATAACTACATGTACAATCAATTACATTTTCAGTGTCTCTTTATCAATCAAACCAATCGTGATATTTATTTTGTAACAATTTTGTGTACAGTCACTAGTAAGAAAAACATGGAGAAGCTGTACTGTTCTACTTGGATTTGCCAGTGAACCCAAAAATGTTCAAATTTGTGTTAACACTTTAATTTATATATACAAGTGGTCAATATGGAAAACAAGCAACAGTATTAAGTATGAAGATACAAAAAATACTCTGTACTACTTCATTCCTCCAAAAAGCATTCTCGAAAGAAATAAAATTAACACTCCAGCTTAAAATTAACTTCAATGTATATTTTCCCATTTATTCATTATTGCAACACATTTAAGAATCACACCGGATAGCATATACGAACAAGAAATTCGGAACCACCCTAACAAAAAAGAACTATAGTTAACTATAGTTTACTATAGTTAACTATAGTTTACTATAGTATCATAGTTTTTATCATTTTAGTAAATCAAAGTGTTTTTACGATGGATTTCAAAGCGTTATATTTTTGTTCTTCAATTCATACCTGCACATTTTTTGTATTGAATTGAAATATTATTTGTATATTCACACATTATTTCCAGATTTTACATTACTGTTATCGAATTTTAAAGATTTTAAGCTTTGACATCTCAAAAAAAGTTCCACAGTAAAGTTTCATAGTAAATCAAAGTGTCAAAGTTTTCACTATAGTTAACTATAGTAAACTATAGTTAACTATAGTTAATTTTTGTTAGGGTAAATTGAATCCGATAGATACATGTATTCTTTGTTTTGTTATACAATTTAATTAATATACCTGTTTTTAATGTATGATATGAATAAATATATGAGATATTGTATTTAGATATAAAGCACCCTGCGTGATGCTGTAGGGTTTACTATTATATTTTGTTATAGAGGGAGCTTAGTCAGGGCCCCATCCCTGGTAGCTGTCCTATATATCACCTTTAATGTTATAGGCCTGGGAAATAAATGTGAAATAAAAAATCTTCTCTCGACGATATTTAGAGGGAAAATTGTTTTCACGATTTAATAACCACTGAGTATTCTACTTTCTAATAGTTTAAAGTTCCCATGCCAGTGGCTCACACCACTGTTTAAGGTTAATCCTCTCGAACAATAAGCAGGTAAACTCTTTCTTTAAAATGAATACTTATCCTCTTGAACAAAATCATGATTCTTGAGTCCATGATCTAGGATTCGGATATGGTACATTTGGTCATATTAAGTAAACCTAACACGTAGATTTTACTTGATAAAGTCGAGAAATGTTCTAAAAAGCATAAGATTTATTGACAAACAAGTGATTTAATATTATTTTGCAGGGTCGTCAAAAGGTTTGTGGAAAGGAAATACCCCTCCTAAACGCAATGACTGCTTTAGTTAAATGGAACCACGTTGGTGGAATATAATTTTTTTCTTCAAAATTTAAATAACAAAATGTGGCAGCAATACTTTGAACAAATAAACAATTTGAATTTATTTTGTTTTAAATTTTATATTTTCTATTTTATAAATGGAGTGTCGTCACACCAAACTCATTCCAAACCCCCCTTGTCTTCTTGGCGGTCTTGGTTTGCCGCGTTTATATTTACCGATCATGATATAATATGATATTAGGTGATACGATTAAACCATTATGTGTGAAAAATGAATATACTAAAGCAGTATTTTTTTTTTGGCTAATGACTTCTCTTTGCAATGATAAGACGACAACTATCTCTATCATTCCACATTTATTCTTTTTTATCTTTCTTTTGGAATATAAAAAATGCACTTATGTTTAACTTTCATTGAATAAAAACAATGTTTTATCCAACAAAAACCGGACCTTGTATAAAATGTGTAGTTGCTGAGGAAGTTGTAGATTTCATGTGATCTATAAATAAAAAAAAACATTTATAACTTGATTACTATAAAGAGAAAACAGAAAAAGACAACATAAGGACTTTAATTGATAATTTCAAAAATGTGAGATAATACGTAGTTGATACCTGGGCACGGCTGTATGTTACATGCCTCAGATTCCAGGTCCTTGCCAGGACACGGTAGTCCTCCATGAGAAGGTGGCGGATTTTTACATTCCCTTACTCTGATATGTATTCCTCCACCACATGACATGTCACAAGGCCGGAAGCGACCTCAATGACCCCAAATTCCATCAACTAAGAAAATATAGATTTTTGTTTAAAATTCAAACTTCATTTGCGCTGAAATTTGAAAGCAAGTTAATAAGACAGATTAGAATGCAAATAAAATAATCAATTTTCAACAAAGAAGAAACAAGATGTGTCTGTGAAACACTGATGCCCCCATATGGCAATTCATAGCGAAGGATTAAGTTTCTCAAATGCAAGTCAAACTCCCAAGGTCAAACAAAATCAAAATTGTTGGTACCCAAGGTATGGTATTGTCACAAGACATACACCTGTGATATTATCAAGGTTAAAGTTTTTTCCAAAGAAGCTTAAACTCCAAGTTCAAAGGGTCAAAATTGTTGGGACTAATGGGAAGGACTTGTCACAATAAATACAGTGTACATTTTGAAATATGAAAACTCTAACATCAACCGATCAAAAGTTTTGGCCAAGATTATTATTTTTTTTAAAAGTAGGTCAAACTCCTAGATCAAAGTCAGGGTCTTTTCACAAAGAATACACCTGTGAAATATGAAAGCCCTAGTACCAACCGTTTAAAAGTTATGACAAAATTTAAAACTTTAAAAAGTGGGTCCACTGAAAGGGTCAAAATTGTTGGTACCCGAGGGAAACTCCTGTCACAAGAAATACACATGTGTAATATGAAATCCCTAGCTCCAATCATTTAAAACGTATGGCTAAGGTTCAAGTTTCTGTAAACTAGGTCAAACTCTAAGGACAAGGTCAATAGATCAAAAATATTTATATCAAAGGAAAGGACTTATCACAAGGTATACACATGTGAAGTATGAAAGCACCAACCATTCAAAGGTTATGACCAAGGTTTAAGTGTGGTAAAATTCTGCAAAAATGGGTCACACTCCAAGGTCAAGAGTTAAATATGTTGGTACACAGAAGAAAGGGCTTGTCAGAAGGGATACACATGTACACATGTAAAATATGAAAGCCATAGATCCAACCAATCAAAAATTATGGCCAAAGTTAAGGTTTTTGCGGACAAACAGACATACAGACAGACAGATGGACAGGGCAAAATCTATATGCCCCTGAATCTTCGATTACGGAGGCATAAAAGAGAGACGCATTTTTTTCATTAAAAATTACAATTTTGATTCAAATATGATAACCTGGCAAGAAAAGTAAATATATAATCATTTAACTAAGTATAATACATACAGAGAAAACAAATCGTATGCTAATACTTGTTTTCATATCCGTCAACTAATAGTGTAGGAGAGAAGCTTTTGAAAATTGTCTGCAGAAAAACATAAATAAGAAACCTGGACACGCTGTGAGGTTGCAAAGTATGCCTTCCGTTGAGTTTCCTGAACAGTCCTGACCCCCATATTGAGGATGTGGCTCAGAGCAGGTGCGCGTTCTGAGCCGTAAACCTTGACCACAACTACCACTACAATGTTCACTGAAGTTTGACCATGCTGACCATCCTCCATCGACTAATTAATATTGAACGGAATTGTTAAAAGCAGTCATAATAAAATACAGCATTTTTTTTTAAAAATATCATTATTAGTATTTTTTTTCTTTTTTGCTTTTAAAAAGTGTTTTATAAGGTAAGATGAATTTCATGTTATAAATTTTTAATATATCGGGTAGCAGTCAATTCATTTCCAACATGACAACTTTTCATTGTCCATTACATGTAATTGCCACTTGGTAAATCTTACAGGTTAACATACATGTACATATCACAAAGATGGAAAAAAAATGTATCCTCTCTCTTTCTCTCATGAGCCTTTAAAAACTAACGTCTTAGTTTCATAAATTTGATTTCATACTTGGACAGTGAAATATGTTACATCCTATCGCTTCAAGGGAATTGCCAATGCAAGACAGACCACCATTGGCTGGGGCCGGATTTGTACAGTCTCTGAATCTCAGTTTCCAGCCTCCACCACACGATTTATCACAAGTACTGAATCCTCCCCATGAAGTCCAAGATCCATTAACTATTGAATACCAAAGATTATGTATTTTATAATATTTATTTAAAATATAGTTTAGAACAAGTGAAAGTTTGTTTTTAGCAATATGAATGGAATTTTCGTTTAATTGTTGTTTACATATTTCTCAAACTTTCTAATAAAAAAATACCCTATCAGTATGGGGTTTTTTTTATCTGTATAATGTATGTTTAAATTTTTACATACTCGAAACTTTGGCAGAACTGAGAGTTTTGGCTTGCAAGAATGAAAATAGCGATTACCGGTAGGTTTTTCATATTTCATGTAAAATAATACTATTCATTTTGAGTATTTTTTCTGATCACAATGTACACAGTCGACAGGGCCCAATAATATACAGTACCTGGCCATAAGTCTGTGATGATAAAAATGGCTGCCAAAATATCAAAATTCAGAAAGCCATTTTTTTTTCTTTCCATAGAGTGTATACAATAATTAAATGACGTCATTTTATAAAAGTGACGTATTATCTGTCAAATAGTTAGCAATTGACAAGATGGCTACTAAAGGTAAACAAATCTCTACCCCTATGAAAAATGCAATAATAAGTATGATAGTGGATATACCCAACAGGACATTGCTACTATTCTTTCTGTGAGCCAGTCTGGGATTTCCAAGTTTCTTAAGCGATACCAGTGAAAATAAGCATCGAAGCGGACGCCCTAGAAAAACTGATGTACGAGGTGATCGTAAGCTACTTCAACGTGTGAAACTCAGCAGACGGCAAATTTTGTCGGAAATAACTGATGAAGTGAACTTAAAATTACCAAGTTCCATCTCTTCACGGGCGGTAAGAAGACGTTTGCGATTTTTTAACTTTACGAGAAGGAAAACAAGGAAGACTCTGATAATTCAGTCTGTAAACAGCACTCGCCGTGTAAATTGGTGTCGAGGTAAATTACACTGGACAGTGAAAGGTAATTGGAAAAAGGTGATTCTCAGCAACGAAACTCAGGTTGTGATTGTTCAGAATAAGAGAGTTTACATCTGGAGAAGAACGAACGAAGTATGGCGACCTGGAGTGTCTTGGCGTCCGTGGAAACGGAAAGTACTCGGTGATGTTTTTGGGATCTATTACTTATGAAGGAGTCGGAACATTTACAGAAGTAGATAGGATTATCAATTCCCCCAAAACATAAACATTTTGGGTACAGATTTAGGACCTGTTATTATGCGTCATTTACCGAATGGTGACTATGTATATATTCCAGGACGACAATACACTGGTTCACTCATCTAACGCCTGAAAATTATGGAAAACCGGAATGAAATTAAATGTCCAACTTGGCCATCACAATCTACAGATATCAATGTAATTGAAAATGTGTGGAGAACCATAAATAGGTACAAAATTCATAATCGTAAAGACCTTATCATGAAAGTAAAGGAAATATTGCGGTCACTGCCTCAGCACTATATTCAGAGCCTGTACGCTTCAATTCCAAGGCGAATTCGACAAGTTAGTAAATCTAAGGGTCATGCAACTAAATGATAGAGATAAAAGCCTTAGGGTAAGTACTTAATATGTATGGAGTTTTTTTTCATTTTTGCATTTTTTTTATGTTGTTCACGTTACCGTACGTTACGTCAGCCATTTTATGACAGACTTATGGCCAGGTACTCTAAAACCTGCTTATTTTTAGTGTTTAACATCGAATAACAGTGAATGCTTGATCCAAACTTTTAGATTGATGGAGTTTGGAAAGTTGTCTATCCAAAAAAAAATCTCCGGTATTTTGTAATACTTTATACAGGGTTATTTTCACACTGTCACTGATGAAATAATTTTTACCTTTTTTAATTTGCTCAGAAAGGACAATAATATAAGGGGGAAAACGGCCCTTTAAAACTAGCCCATTTACGACACGCGCAAAAGGACTTAAAATATTATAGTGTATTAGGGGATATGAATGTCGTCGTATGCAGAACTCTGTTGAGAAATGAAACAAATACGCTTAAACAGTCACATTTCAAACTTCTTTATTTTAAAGGGATTCTTATTTATCATGAGTATCTGATATAAATAAATTATCTTTGTTGTATCCGACAAATCAAGCGCAATGTAAACAAACATTTCTCTGTATGTACTTACCTGGACATGCCTCTGACCCGCAGTCACTAGACTCCTGTAATACTACATTACTACAACATCCTCTACAGGTCCTATATCTGTGTTGTGTACCATTACCATCACAGGTAACATTACAGGCTGTCCACTCGCTCCAAAGAGATAAAGTCTGATGATAATGAGAGACTCCAGATGCTGGGATAAAGCAAAAAGATTTAGCAAGAATATTCAAAGTATATTCAGAAAATACTGTACGTTTAGGAAACTTATTTCAATCATAAATGTTAATAAAGTTAGTATCAGGTCATCCTCATTAACATTTTAAATTGAAATGTATTCTTTTCTTCTATATTTAAAGATGTAATTCAAACACACATAAGTACACAATGTGCCATTTGTTTGTTCGAGGTATTTGTTTTGTTTTTTTTAAACTATGTTCAATCTCCTCTCGGTCATCGCACGCTTTCTATGTGCAGTAATTTGTATTGATTAAATAATGGCCGTCAGTTGAGCTTCTGTGTCGGCCAGTTTACTCCCATGATATCCGATACAACCTTGCATAAACATCCGCCATAAAGTAGTCCATGTCATTTTTCTGAACTTATCTAATTTGGTAATTGACAAAAGAAAATGCAAATATATGTCTTTTAACTAAATTTGAATATTATATTTTTTGATCAGCAGATAATAATTTCAAAGAACAAGGTACAGTTTCAATACAAATCTGGCCCTGTATTTTTACTCTCTCTATCAAATGTTTCTATCTGAAATCTGAGTATTTTTCTAAAATATGAAAGTCATGAAAGAAATTAAAATTCATGCTTTCTGAAATGTTAAAACTCCATGCACTATGATCAAACAAATTGTTTTTCTCATTTGACTTCCTAGTGTTAATTGTGACGTCATAAACTTGTGCATTTTCCCGTATTTTCTTAAAAAGTTGCAGAAGACATCAATTTTCAGTGAAATTATCTTTCAGATAATATAGACCACATGTATCGCCCACAAAGATTTTGAGAAATATGATTTTTCAAAGAATTTTACACAACATATCAGAATATTGAAGTGGGCGACGGCTGTGGACAGTATTTTCTGAAGGAAAATATCCCCTGAAATGAGTCATTTTGAGCCATTTTCTGCTTAAAGCTTGGAAAAATACGAAATTAATGATGCCATATTTGCAGAATGATCCTCCTTCATGCCATATTCTTTCATGGATTATAACACTCATATACTCAACTCATATATATGCTAATTTCAAAACTTTTTGAAAACATAAATTTTTTAGGGCATAATAAAGCCAAAACCGTACCTTCTTCTTTGGAATGGGTAAATTGTCAAAGAAAAAACTTGGAGCTGTGCATCAATTTACACTACCTTATTTCAGATGGAAATTTCTGGAGTTGAAATTTAAAACTTTGGAATATAAAACACCCATTAAGTTGTGAAAATAAAAAAAAGATATGTTGAATTATGAAATTAAGTACAAAAACTCTATCAACAATTATGTGTCTGGAAAAAAAATGCTTAAAAGATGTGTATCAACTGCTCATTCCAATCAGAGAAAAAAAAGACAATGTAGTGTCTGATGAGGGTAACAAAGGAAAAGGGCGCGTTTGGAAGTTTGCACCAATTTTACAATTTAAGACCCCCACTCTTCAACTCCCATGAGTACTTTCAGTACTTTGTTTTTTGTTGTTTGGTTTTTTTTTTTTTTTTTTTTTTTTTTTTTTTTTTTTTTTTTTGTTTTGTTTGTTTTTGGTTTTGTTTATTTTATTTTTTTGTTACTGGTGCTTTTTTTAATTCAAAGAACATTGTAAAAAATTAATAACCAGGCTTTTTGATATCATAGACAACCCGCTTCTTCAGCTACTAGATGTGTCAGTGTGACTGCCTCCCACCGACAGACAAATTTAAGTTATGTAAAAGTCCAAGCGTGTGGAGTTAATAATGGGTGGAAATAGTGCAAACGTGAAAAAAAAACCCATCGTATTAATTCTCCTGTTTTCTTGAATCAATATTGATTATACCACAACATACCTAAACTTTGCGAAATGTTGATATGTTGATTAATACATGCAAAGCAAAAAAGGCCAAAACCAGTGAATAATATACAATTTTGGACTCTTTCGAGAGTCCATAATTGTTTTATTATATAGTCCGGATTTGAATAAATAAGACATTGAAGGCTGCATGATGATACCACTTCCATTTACGAACGTTTGTCGTAGAAAAATTTTCAAAAAATGTCCAGATTACAAATTATATCTTCCCTGTTTTCCTTTTGCTGTTTGTAACACATCGTAATGTTTAGAAAATAACCCTGCGATAGGCTTGGCTAATGTTTTTCCTGCTCATTAACACAGCTGGTTCCGGCCGTTGCAACCATTGTTTAC